GCTGTGTGGTCCCTCGGCGGCCGCCCTGCAGGCGGGGGTCTGCCTGCCTTCCTGGCCTCGGCCCACGCTCCCCACAGCCACAGCGGGACCCACACAGGCCGGGCACACGCACCTCCTCAGCCCCTCTCACCGGCGGGCGGGACCCGGGCCCCCCTCTGCCCGGGACACGGATCTCTCTCTAGAGACCCCAATGCCTCTGGGCAGCCGTCTCTGCACTCAAACCTCCTCACGCTTCACGTTGCATTTGTGGCTGCCGCCCCTGCTGGGCGGCGAGCGAGCCCAGGGGAGCAGGACCTCGCTCTGTTTGGATCCCCCGTAACCCTTCTGTTTGGAGAATGCTGCCGAGCTCATGAAGGGGCTGGGAGTGCAGGGGCCCTGGGGCGGGGCTGCCATCCGAGCTCACAGTGAATGGTGTTCTGTCCTCTTTCCTGAACTAAGCGCAAGCTCCCTGACCTCATGCTCGGGGTGGTGGCCTCTGAGGGACCATGACCTCTGGAGGGACCGCCGCCTGCTGACTGGCTGAGGCCAAGCCTGAGATCCAGAGAGACAGTGTCAGGGCGGAGGCCCCAGTCTGAGCCCACGTCCTGCATCGGCTGGTCCTTGGGGTCGAGGTGGTGCTCACCGTCATTGTCATGTCAAAACGGCAACAGGCAGGAGAAGGGAGGAAACCCGGGACGGGGAGGGGCGGGGCTCGCCCTTCTTGCTTTGGGTGGATCATGACAAATCGGATTCTCAGCATTTAAAACATATTTTATGGATTTTTACAGAGAGGAAGGGAGAAGGTTAGAGAGCCAGAAACATCAATGAGAGAGAAACATCGATCAGCTGCCTCCTGTACACCCTCCCCTGGGGATGTGTCCACAACCAAGGTACATGCCCCTGACCGGGAATCAAACCTGGGACCCTTCGGTCCGCAGGCCGATGCTCTATCCACTGATCCAGGCCGGGCAGGGCGGATTCTCAGCATTTAAATGTGACCGATGCCCTGAGGCTGAGGTAGGTAGATGGAGCCCAGTCCACGCCGGGCATTCTTGGCGGCCTGGACTGGGATGACGCTGGGCCCAGGTTCATCATGGGCTCCCCGGCCGTCCGGCACACGGAGGAGCACAGGAAATACCTCTGCTACTGAATGGCCGACTCGAGCGCCCGCCAAGGCCCAGGCCTGTGTGCTGCCTCCAGCTAATCCTCGGAGCAAGTGTGGATTAGGCCACGCTTAAGCCATGCTGATTGTGGCGGTGACTTCCTGCCTGGTGGCTTATCCAAGGCAGATTGCTTTTCAATCCTCCTGGTGACATTCTGGCCCGCCGTCCAGCACGCGGCCCCGCGCTGAGTGAATCCTTAATAATTATTAATTGATGAGGCGCTTTCGCCGCCCGAATGCTTAAACCACGTGCCCTCTGAAGACGGCGCGGGCTGCGGCATATTTTAATTAAATACTGATGACTTTAATTCGACTGCTCTCTTAATACTCTCGGGCCCAGAGTGCCGGGCGAATGGCCTGCTCATTTCGGAGGATATTAGCAGCAGGGTGCCGCCTTCTACCCAAACATGAGATCATCGTAATTAAAACCCGGTATTGTTGGGAGTGAACTCCTTTAAGGTGATTTATGTCCCACAAACACACACCGAGGCAATATAGGTGCCAGCGTCCCCGGGAATTTACAGCTCCTCCGAGGAGCTCTGTCCGCTCCTTTCCGAAATGAAACCTTCTCTGGCCAGTTGATGAAAGACTCCTTACTGGGTTCAGGGGAAATGTGTGTTTCCACCGATCAATTTCCGGGTCTCCCCGAAGAGCAGGGCCACTGAGAGCTCCGGGAAACGAACGGCAGTGGGAGCAGAGTGCATGTGGACGTTACTGCGCCAACCCGAGTCTCAACCGCTGAAACAGAGCCGGAGACAAAGGAAGGCTCACTGTGCGTGTGCGTGTGTGTGTGTGTGGGGGGGGGGGGGGCTGAGCAGGAGGGAGGAGAGATGATGTCTGAGTAGACAAAGACATGAAATAATTTGGAACGAGTGAGAGTCCAGAAGGCGAGTATAGCAGTGTGTGTGAACTCTCTGCTTCAGCTTACCCGGAGCTCGGATTGTGTCCCCGGGCGTGGACCAAGCCATGCCCCAGGGCGCTTGCCTGGAGCATGACTCTTAACCAGGGGCCCAGGTGTGGGGTTTAGGGGGAGTATGATCGCCCTGAAATTATATGCAAAACCTGTTTATAGGAAGATGTCGGAATGGGCAGAAATAGATGGGCACTTCTTTTCCCATGATAAGGTCTATGGCTTGGGCCACCTTCTCTAAGCCTTCCAGGTCCCCCAGAAGGTGAATCAACTCAAAAGTGGCGCTTGCTTTCTCTAACCTTCCCCTGAAAAGGATATTCCAACCGAAGCCAAAACCCCAACCAGCCAAGGAGCACAAATGTTTCATGTTGTGAAGGTAAAGAAAAAGATTTTCTACAAAAACCTTAAAAGCAGCACGGCGACTCTCTAAACAACACCGCATTACGTATAGGAACGTTGCTAAGAGAGTACAACTTTTTAAATATGTGTTTCTTTTTTTAAAAAAAATTTGATTTTAGAGAGAGGAAGGGAGGAGGGAGAAAGAGAGAGAGAGAGGGAGGGAGGGAGAGGAACATCAATGATGGGAGAGAATCATGGATTGGCTGCCTCTTACACACCCCTCACTGTTTGTCTCACGGGGAGCAACATGAGGCTCAGTTTTTGTTTTTGTTTTAAATATATTTTATTGATTTTTTTTACAGAGAGGAAGGAGAGGGATAGAGAGCCAGAAACATCGATGAGAGAGAAACATCCATCAGCTGCCTCCAGCACACTGTGTCCCTACCGAGGATGTGCCTGCAACCAAGGTACATGCCCTTGACCAGAATTGAACCTGGGACCCTTCAGTCCACAGGCCAACACGCTATCCACTGAGCCAAACTGGTTAGAGCAGGCCCAGCTTTTTTTTTTTTTTTTTTTTTTAGCAGAACTCGTCCTCACAGTTCCAGGAACTACACCAGTGGAATTGAGATGGCTCAGGGTTGGGGGAGGGGGAGAGAGGTTGGAGAAGAAACGGGACTATTAAGGAGGTGGGTTTAAGACAAGCTTCATAATTTTTAAGATCCCGGTCCACAGAGCCTGGCAAACAAGACTTTTCTTACCACCTAGGCTGTGTATGCACTGTCCATGCTCACTTTTGATGGCCATTGGAAACAATTTACTTAGACATAATTTCAGTCCTACCCTTGCAAGAATAGTACAAATAATTTCTATATATTTTCCGTTCAGATTCCACAGCTGTTACTCTCTCATTGCCTTTGCTTTCTCGTTCTCTAAGTAAACATATCCACCTCACCTTCCTCCTCGTGCAGACATAATGATGCCCCGTTAGCTCCCAGGGTACATTTCTCCAAAATGAGGATATCCTCTTCCAGAACCACAACACAACGATCGAGATCATAAAGTCCCCGCCGATAAAACACCATTAACTCCTCCACAGCCTGACTCAGGTTTCACCGATTGTCTGGGGCTTGTCAGCAAAAGGAAGCCCGGGTCCTCCAGCTGTCCTGTCTCTGCGTCTCTCTGACTCTGGAGCTGTTCCCAGCCCTGTCTTGTCTTTCACGGCACCGGCTTTGTGGGAAAGTGCAGGCCGGTTGCTTAGTCGAAGGTCCTTCCGTTTGAGTAGTCTGATGTCCTGAGCAGGTCCAGGTTTTGCGTTTTTGGCAGGAAGGTCACAGAGGTCATGCTACCCTCTTCCTCGGGGCATCAGTTCAGGAAGTGATGTTGACCTTTGATCTCTTGGTTAGGGTAAGGTCTGCCAGGTTTCTTTGCTTTGAAGTCACCAGTAACCCCCTCCCCCTTTTACATTACTGAATTTAAAGATATATGGTAAAATACATGTAACATATAGAATTGACCATTTTAACCACGGTTCAGTGTTTAGCTCTGTAGCGTCGAGTGCATTCACGTTGTTGTGCAACCTTCACCACCATCTGTGGGATTTTTTCATCTTCAACTGAAACTCCATCCCCATTAATCACTAATGTCCCATCCTCTCCCCTTCCCCCCAGTCCCTGGCAACCACCATTCCACTTCCTGTTTCTGTGAATTTTCCCATGCCAGGTACCTCACAGAAGTGGAATCACACAGTATTTGTCCTCTTGTGACTGACTTATTTCATTTAACACAATGTCTTCAAGGCTCCTCCATATTGTGGCAGGTGTCAACACTTCCTTTCTAAGGCTGAACTATTCTTTTGTATGTAAACATCACAGGTTGCTTAAGTAGTCATCCGAGGATGGACACTGGGTTGCTTCTGCCTCTCAGCTATTGGGAGTAAAGCTGTAGGAACACACGTGTGCAAATATCTGCTCCAGCTTGTTTTCCCTTCTTTTGGATCTGTGCCCAGAAGTGAAATCACTAGATCCTTGTTTTTTTTCCTTCTTAATTAATAAGTTCCTTGGGAGCGATACTCTGAGACGATATAAATATCCTGTTACTCCTCACACGTTCCCGCACTAGTTTTAACACCCCTCAATCCTATCTGAATCAAGTATTACTCCAATGTTGACAAATGGTAATTTCCTTTGCATCGTTCCCTCTACATTTACTAGTTGGCATTCCACTATAGGGAATAACTTTACCATATCTCCCACTTATTTACGGGTGTGGACTCACTTTATTTATGGGGTTATAGTGCTTTACTCCATGGACACTATTGCTCTGAGCAATTCTTTTCCATGTAACTCTCAAGAGCGCCAGTTCGGGGACTTTCTGTATTTCCTTGTCACCACCACGAAATCCCAGCGTGCAGCCTTACTTCCCTAAATGGAGGTCACTTTCCTGCCCAAGTGTTCGTGTAGTTCAACTGGAGTCCCTTTTTTGGATTCTTCTCCCACACAGACCGCCTGAGCAGCCTCGCCCCGCGGAAACTACATCTCCCAGAGGCCTCCGCGCGCAGCGTCATCGGAGAGCGCGGCTTTCGCTCGCGGAGCCGGCTGTGGAGGCGATATGGCGGACGCGCTGAGCATCGGCGTGAACCTGGAGGCCTTCTCCCAGGCCATCAATGCCATCCAGGCGCTGCGTTCCAGCGTGAGCAGGGTGTTCGACTGCCTGAAGGATGGCATGCGCAACAAGGAGACGCTGGAGGGCCGGGAGAAGGCCTTCATCGCGCACTTCCAGGACAACCTGCACTCGGTCAACCGGGACCTCAAGTAGGTACCGGCCGAGGGCGCGGGGGGCCGGCCCGTTGCGCACCGTCCCGCCCCCACGCGAGCCTCCCTCCTCGGGGACAGCTCCCCCTTTCCGCCTCCACGCCTCTGCAGCCCCTCGGGGGCACGGTGCCCCCACGCCGCGGGCCCGTCTCCCTGCTCTGGGCCTCGTCGTCCTGGCCGCCGCCGCCCGGACCCCGTCGGGGTCGTTCCGTTCCTCACGAGGAGACACGCCTTTCCTTGAACTTGGCTCCGCACGTTAGCCCAGGCCCTCACCTGTAGCCCTCGGTGCCCCAGCGGCCTCCCCAACTACTGTTGGTCCCCACCGGCCCTGCCCCAAGCCCAGGTGCCCCCATCTGATGAGCCCTAATTCCTCGCGTGGACCTGGAATTCATCAGGCCCACCTTTCCCACCCCCAAGCACCACAGAATTTCCCCCAAGCCTCGATCAGTCTTTCCCTCCCTCCCCCCCCCACACTTTCCCTCCCTCTTTCCCTCCCTCTTTCTCTCCCTCTCCCCGTCCCTCTCCCTCTTTTCTTCTTCCCTTTCCCCTTTTTCCTCCCCCTCCCTCTCCCCATTCTTTCTCCCCCTCCCTCTCCCCTTCTCCCTCCCCCTCCTTCTCCCCCTTCCTCCCTGCTCCTGCCCAGTTCCCTCCCAGGACAGAACCAGGCTCTGGCTTAACCACTTAACACCCCTTCCCTTCACTTATTAGCTTGTGGCCCTTTAAGGTGAAGGATTGTACATTTCTTTCTCTTTCATACAGGGTAGCCTTCATGCCTTCCACATTACAAGCCGTGGTGTAAGAGTTAGTGGGAGGGCATTTGTGAACCGCACATAGTAGGCCCTGTACTTGGTTAGGTCCTCACGTTGTCTTCCCTCCTGTGAGAGAGCCAGCCAGCCTTTCCGGGTTTTTGCATTTTATTTCTCAGAACTGAGCTGAGCAGGGAAAGGCAGTTGGTGAGCTAGCCCTCCTGTGAATTCTGGGGTGGCCAGATTCTTTTTTCTCAACTTGTCTCCTTGGTCACCAGATGGAAGGGGGAGGTAGAATCCGGCGGAGGTGGTGGCCAAGTGATGGGTGCCTCCCCCCCCTCAGTAGGTGCTGTTCTCTTCCGGGGGAGGCCGGGGAATCACACCCCCTGCTCAGCGCACACATCACCGCCGTCCTCTGGCGCCGGCCAGTCACCGCTCCCGCTCGGGGGCCGGTTGGCCATCCTTTCCTTCCTCTTCCATTTCCTCCCGATTTGCTTCCCTCGGCAGTGTTCAGCAAGCTGTGCCTTCACCGTGTGAGAGTAAGGAAGGTCCGAATTGCCCTTTTGCCTTCTTAGATCTTTCTGCCAGAAGGTGACGGGAGCTTCTGAAGGAGCGTGGCGTGAGCAGCTGCTCCTTGGGCGGCTCCTGGGACAGTTTGGGACGGCCCCTCGGCCCGCGCTCCTGGAATGTCCTTCTCCCTGGCTCGCTGTCCCAGTTTCTCTGGAGTTTTCCTGCTAGACGGAGGGGCAGAGGCAGCCCCTCCCGTAGGGTCTTCCCAGTCCATTTCTTTATTTCATCTCTTCCTGGTTAATTTCACCGTCTGTGGAGCACCAGGGACAAACCTCTCCCTGTGTCAGTGGTGAGTGATCATCACTGACTCAGGTCCTTGCTGTCCTGCCCCAAGCAGCGGTCTGTTTGTGGACTGAACACTCAGCAAGGAGCAAGCAGCGTTTCCTTCACCACCTTCCAGAATCCCCAGCGTCCCCTCCGCCCTCGCAGAGAGGAAGCGAGTTGTAAAGTCCCAGTTGTAGGCGGAGTCGTACTGATTCAGGTGCTTTCAACTTTTCCCCTCCTTGGGAATAGCACCCGAGAGCCGGGTTTTAAAATAGGCCCAGATAGGGGTGTTCTTGATTGTCCCCGATCTTTTTCACCAAAAAGAAGTCCTGTTTGCGGGGCTTCTGACGGCTGCTGGAGGCCGGCCTTGCTGGGCACTCAGGCTGCCCTCCTGCTCTTTGCAGCGAGCTGGAACGTCTGAGCAACCTGGTGGGCAAGCCGTCCGAGAACCACCCGCTCCACAACAGTGGCCTGCTGAGCCTGGACCCCGTGCAGGACAAGACGCCGCTCTACAGCCAGCTGCTGCAGGCCTACAAGTGGTCCAACAAGGTAAGGGCGCGGCAGGACGGGCGCATGTGGGGGAAGCCAGGCGTCCTGCGTCTCCTGGGTGCTGAGGGGAGGGTTTTCTTTCTTGTTTTGTTCTTGATTCAGCATGGGGTTACGGAGTTGGGAGTTTTAGAATTTGTGAGCTTGTGTCCTTGGAAGTTTTTGAGGCTTAGTCGTGACGCTCAGGCCATAAAAAAATCTACGGTGTAATTAACCTGGAGGCTGGCTAAGGAGGCAGCGAGGATATGATTCTTGCTGATTTTATTTTTTATTTATTTTTATTTATTTATTTTTAATATATTTTATTGATTTTATACAGAGAGGAAGGGAGAGAGAGAGAGAGCTAGAAACATCGATGAGACAGAGTCATCGATCAGCTGCCTCTTGCACACCTCCTACCGGGGATATGCCCGCAACCAAGGTACATGCCCTTGACCGGAATCGAACCCGGGACCCTTCAGTCCCCAAGCCGATGCTCTATCCATTGAGCCAAACCGGTCCTGGCTTGATTCTTGCTGATTTTAGAGAGGGAAAGAGAAACCTCGATGGGTTTCCTTCTGTAGGTGCCCCGACTAGGATTGGAACCCACCTCTGGGTATGTGCCCTGATGAGGAATTGAAACCACAACCTTTTGGTGTATGGGACCAGGCTCCAAACACAGGGGCCACCCCGCCTGGGCCCTAGGAAGCAGCTTTTAAGACCCCTTGAAACTATATCCAAAATAATGCTGTGGTCGCTTTTCCTGGGGAGATGTCCTGGCCCCGCACGATCAGCCCTCAGCCTGGGCGCGCCGCCTGTGCGGTCATCCCGTCCTCGGTGAGGAGCACTAAGTGCTGTTCGGGAGATTTCTCTCTGGTCACGTGAGGCTCCATCCGAGGGAGACTGTTCTGTACACACATCACAGAATTTGCTACTTCCGGTTTCTTCAGCTGGCAGGCCGGGGGCAGAGACCCCTGGGGCAGCCGAGAAAGGAAAACTAAACTGTAGTCTGAAGACAACAGGTGCCCGGCGGTGTGGCTCAGTGGTTGAGTGCTGACCTATGAACCAGGAGGTCACAGTTCGATTCCCCATCAGGGCACAGGCCTGGGTTGTGGGCTCCATCCCCAGAAGGGGGTGTGCAGGAGGCAGCCGATCCATGATTCTCTCTCATCCTTGATGTTTCTCTCTCCTTCTCTCCCTTCCTCTGTGAAATCAATAAAAAATATTAAGAAAAAGTAAAGATAACAGGAACAGTTTGGTTCATAGCATGGAAGCAGTTTGTTTATCGAAAAGTTCCTTTTGTTGGGTGCTGTAGGCTGTGTATTATTATTTTTCTTTCTTGTTGCTGATGGAGAGTGAGGCGATGTTTGGAATGATGTGGAAGCGCCTCCCTGAGACGCTGCTCACCGTCACTGGCCGGAGCTGCTCCGCGCCCTCCCGTTCCCCGTGGCTTTTCTCCTCTCTCCTGTGGCCGCACCCGCAGGTCTTAGATGAAAGAAGAGCTTGGACAGTTTCTTCCTTTGCAGTTTTTTCTTTGAACTTCTCTCTGGGGCATTTACTGTGCTTTGGTTTTAGGTGGAACCCTGGAAACTGAGTCTGAGATTAGGGAGAAGTGATTGATCGTGGGGTGCTAAAGAAAGAGCTTGGATCTTGGATGCGTACATTTAGCCTCTGAGGCTTGTCCCCCAAACTCTGGGCTGCCGGTGGCACCTCAGTTTAGTTTTGAGGACCGGGGTGCCCAGGTGCTGTGGGCCTCCGTCACTCCTTGCCCTCTAGGCCCGCTCTCTGAGGTGGCCTGATCTCCACGCGGCAGAGAGAGCCCTGCATTTGTAGGTTTGCATGGTTCTTACAGGAGGTCACCTCCTGGTGTCCACCTCAGACCCTGGCAGAGGGCTGGCCCTGCTTGGAAAGTGGCCCCAAGACAGTTCACTAAATCCAGGGGTTGGCATTCTCTGATTGGCCAATACAGCTCACTGGATCACAGAAGGCACAGGAAGTGGGGCTCCTTGGGGTTGGCGAGAGGCAGTTCCCATAGGGGGTATGTAGACCGACAACAAAATTCTCTGTGTCTGCTGCCGTTGCCACGGCCAGAGCCGAGACTGTCCAGCCCTTCACAGACAGCACGCCCCTCGCCCTCCTGTGGTGCCTCCTTGGGCATTTCACGGGTGTTCAGCTGGTGAGGTGGTGGTGGGGCCCTCAGCGCATGGGGGGGCTGGCCTCTGATCCGACTCCTCGTCTGCCTCTTGGTGTTTGGACTGGGGGCCGGGTCGATGTGTCACGTGGTGAAGTCGTTCTTCGAACTTGCTGGAGCGACGGAGACTTGTCAGCCGTGGGAACACTTAGCTGATCCTGAAAGCACACATGACAGGGATTCAGGTGACAGGTGTTACATGGAAATGATGATGCTTAACTTCTGAATGAAGGTAGCTTATTTGCTCAACGGATTTCATAGTTGGAGAATGAAAATAGAAGTGCCTGCCCTGCCCCCTGCCCTTTCTCAAGGAGGAAAGGAGGTCGTATTGAGGGAAAGAACCCATGTGTATGGAGCCTCTTGTTCTGGTGATGCTCAGGCTGGAAATGGAGGGAGACGTTTCTGAGATTGTGTCATAAAAGAACAGAGGAAAACAGGGTAAGGATTTCTTATGTACATTTCTTTAAAAACGGAGAAGTAACCCAAGGAATAAGCCAGCCAGTGTTCTAATTTCCAGCGGAGGCAGCAAAAGACTATACACTGAGTGGCCAGATGGTGTATATCGTATATAATATAAGGCTAATCTGCAAATTGTCCCCTCGACCAGGAGTTTGACCAGCAGGCAGGCCGGCCAACTGCCCATGTCCCCTCCCCCTGGCCAGGCTGGCCAGACCCCACCCATGCACGAATTCATGCACAGGCCTCTAATATATATATATATATTTTATTTTGTGTGTGTGTGTGTGTGTGTGTGTATATATATATACTGAATGGCCAGATTACTATGCGTTCAGAGATCATAATAACCTGGCCACTCAGTGTGTGTGTTCATCACATGTGCTAATCTCGCCTCTCCCGCAAATGAAAAGGGCTTGCTCACGGCTGGGCTTTCAGCACTCATCACTCTACCCCCGGCGCTGCAGCCAGCAGGTGCATTACTGCGGGGAAGGCGGGGGAGCCTGCCACTGTCAGCGGCGCTGGCTGCGGGGGGGAGGCGGGGAGCGATGCCACCCGCTCGGTGATGAGCTCTCCGTCTCAGGCGCTAGTGGCCGTAGAAGTCTCATTCCTGCCTGATAACAAATTATCTCCTTCAGGGGGCTTGTAATTTTTGTAGCGTCAGTTGGAATATTAATTACGTGGTAGTCGGCATAATTGTTAGGATAACATACTTAAAAATTAATCTCCCGAATGAAACGATGTCAGGTTGCTGTGAGCAGCACTTTTCCGCGCTGAATGGGGAAAGAACGGGCTTTTAACTCGCGGCTCCTGTGGCTGACGGTTCTGCGGGATGACAGGCTCTGGCGGAGGACAGGAATAATTGGCGGCCGCTGCTCGCTGCAGTCCTCCGCGCACGCTTGCTGTCGCTTATTCTGCTCAGGGACGAGGCAGGCTCCTCCGAGGCCCCTCCGAAGGCTTTGGCGTCCTGGGCTTGGGCTGCTTTCTGTTGGGGGCTTGGGCTTCCTTCCTTTGTTGGAGGCAGAGGCTGCTGCTTAAGCTGCCCAGCAGGTTGACACTTCAGCAGACCCAGCAGCCATTCTCCCCTGCGTGTGTGTGTGAGTGTGTGTGTGTGGTGGGGGGGTAAGAGATAAGCTGAAGCCGCTGCCATTGCCTTACGTTTCCGCACACTCAATTTACATGTTTATTAGAGAAAAGCCCCTTTTATTCCGAGAGTGTCCAGCTGGAGAGTCCACACATTCCCTCTGCTCCGCCCGCCCGAACTCCTCCACCAGAATGTAGTTCCTCACGGTTTACGGGACCAGGCGTTCGTCCTCCCCGTCCGCATGCTGTGGCGCCGCGGAGCGAACAGCCTTTTCCTTCGGGACCTGTCCTCCTCGGAGTCCCCACAGGTGCTCTGTCTGCGGCCCTGCGGGAGGCGCCTGCCCCTGCCCCTGCCCCTGCCCCTGCCTCTGCCCCGGGGCCCGGTGCGCAGTCAGCATCCGGCTGCAATGCCCGGAATGAAGGAAGCTGAAGAGCGCCTCCTGTTGCTTTCTCACGTGCAGCCCTTCGGGGGTCTGCATGCTGGATGTTCGGGGAGGTCCCGGGCGCCTGGCTGTGTCACCGGAGAAAGGCCTGAGCCCGCGGCCGCCGTGGCTGGGCTGCAGAGGGGAGCGGGAAGGACGGCTGAGGTCAGCTGATGAGCCGGGATAAGCTCCGAGGGCTGAGCTTAGCAGTTTCATCTGTGTCCCTGCCACCCGGTGTGCCCTTCCTGGGAGCCGGGCTTCGCGGGGCGGACTGGGTGGAATCCTGGAGTCGACCGAGGCAGCTCGTGAGCGGTCGCCTGACGTCGGGTCCTGTGGCGGCTGTCGCTTCGGCAGCAGCGTCACTTGCCAGCCATACGCTAATGACGCTCACGGACACCGCCTGAGCGCTCGCTCCCTGATATCCGGGCCGAGGGCCCACGTGGCTGCGGGCATCTGCGCTCGGAGACTTCCGGCTCTCCCAGCGGGTCCAGAACCAAAACCCTGCGCCCACCACCGGCTGCTCGCCGTGGGCACCTTCCCGGCCAGGTGCCCAGACCTCACACCTTCTGATGAGGACCTGCTGAGTCCACCCCTCAAACCTCCATCTCCAGCCTCTCCCTCTCCACCGCTGCCGCCTGGTCCGTTTCCCACCCTGCCCGGCTCCGGGTCTTTGTAAAGTGGCCGCCGCTCCCAGTGCCTTCCTCTGCCGTCCTGCGGACCCAGCCCAGCGCCCGGCTGGCACTGGCCCGCACCTGCTCATCGTGCTCAGGCCCCACGTCCGGACGCAGACAGCCCGTGGCCAGAGGCCCCAGCTCAGCCTCCCGGCTGCCACCTGGGCGCACGGGCCTGGCTCAGGGAACCTGGAGGCCGGC